CCACCTCTACCTGGCACACCCTACCCACCTATGTCAGGCACACCCTACCCACCTCTGCCTGGCACACCCTACCCACCTCTACCTGACACACCCTACCCACCTCTGCCTGGCACACCCTACCCACCTCTACCTGACACACCCTACCCACCTCTGCCTGACACACCCTACCCACCTCTGCCTGACACACCCTACCCACCTATGTCAGGCACACCCTACCCACCTCTGTCAGGCACACCCTACCCACCTCTGCCTGGCATACCCTACCCACCTCTGTCAGGCACACCCTACCCACCTCTGCCTGGCACACACCCTACCCACCTCTACCTGGCACACCCTACCCACCTCTGTCAGCACACCCTACCCACCTCTGCCTGGCACCAACCCTACCCACCTCTACCTGACACACCCTACCCACCTCTGCCTGACACACCCTACCCACCGTCTGTCAGGCATACCCTACCCACCTCTGTCAGGCACACCCTACCCACCTCTGCCTGGCACACCCTACCCACCTCTACCTGGCACACCCTACCCACCTATGTCAGGCACACCCTACCCACCTCTGCCTGGCACACCCTACCCACCTCTACCTGACACACCCTACCCACCTCTGCCTGGCACACCCTACCCACCTGTGCCTGGCACACCCTACCACCTCTACCTGACACACCCTACCCACCTCTGCCTGGCACACCCTACCCACCTCTGCCTGACACACCCTACACCACCTCTGCTGCACACCCCTACCCACCTCTACCCTGGCACACCCTACCCACCTCTGCCTGGCACACCCTACCCACCTGGCTGACACACCCTACCCACCTCTACCTGACACACCCTACCCACCTCTACCTGACATATCAATGACGACTAGAGAGAGGGAGAGAGGCTGTGATCTCTATGTGATCTCGATGTGATCTCTATGTGATCTCTATGTGATCTCGATGTGATCTCTATGTTATCTCAATGTGATCTCTGTGTGATCTCTATGTGATCTCTATGTGATCTCTATGTGATCTCTGTGTGATCTCGATGTAATCTCTATGTGATCTCGATGTGATCTCTGTGTGATATCTGTGTGATCTCGATGTGATGTCTATGTGATCTCTATGTGATCTCGATGTGATCTCTATGTTATCTCTATGCATCTTCTCTGTGATCTCTATTTGATCTCTATGTGATCTCTATGTGGTCTCGATGTGATCTCTGTGTGATCTCTGTGTGATCTCTAAGTGATCTGTGTGATCTCTATGTGATCTCTATGCATCTTTTCTATGCATCTTCTACGTGATCTCTATGTGATCTATATGTGATCTTTATGTGATCTCTATGCATCTTCTCTGTGATCTCTATGTGATCTCTATGTGATCTCTATGTGATCTCTATGCATCTTCTCTGTGATCTCTATGTGATCTCTATGTGATCGCTATGCATCTTCTATGTGATCTCTATGTGATCTCTATGTGATCTCTGTGTGATCTCTATGTGATCTCTATGCATCTTCTATGTGATCTCTATGTGATCTCTATGTGATCTCTATGTCATCTCTATGTGATCTCTATGTGATCTCTATGCATCTTCTACGTGATCTCTACGTGATCTCTACGTGATCTCAATGTGATTGCTATGTGATCGATATGCATCTTCTAGGTGATCTCTATGTGATCTCTATGTGATCTCTATGTGATCTCTACGTGATCTCTATGTGATGTCTACGTGATCTCTACGTGATCTCAATGTAATCGCTATGTGATCTATATGTGATCTATATGCATCTTTGCTGTGATTTCTATGTGATCTCTATATGATCTCTATGTGATCTCTATGCATCTTCTATGTGATCTCTATGCATCTTCTATGTGATCTCTACGTGATCTCTACGTGATCTCTACGTGATCTCTATGTGATCTCTATGTGATCTATATGTGATCTATATGCATATTTTCTGTGATCTCTATGTGATATCTATGCATCTTCTATGTGATCTCTATGCATCTTCTATGTGATCTCTAGGTGATCTCTGTGATCTCTATGTGATCTTTATGTGATCTCTATGCATCTTCGATGTGATCTCTATGTGATCTCTATGTCATCTCTATGTGAACTCTATGTGATATCTATGTGATCTCTATGTGATCTCTATGCATCTTCTCTGTAATCTTTATGTGATCTCTATGTCATCTCTATGTCATCTCTATTTGATCTCTGTGATCTCTATGTGATATCTATGCATCTTCTATGTAATCTCTATGTGATCTCTACGTGATCTCAATGTGATCGCTATTTGATCTATATGCATCTTCTACGTGATCTCTATGTGATCTCTATGTGATCTCTATGTGATCTCTACGTGATCTCTATGTGATCTCTACGTGGTCTCTACGTGATCTCAATGTGATCGCTATGTGATCCATATGTGATCTCTATGTGATCTCTATGTAATCTATATGTGATCTATATGCATCTTCTATGTGATCTCTATGTGATCTCTATGTGATCTATATGCATATTTTCTGTGATTCCTATGTGATCTCTATGTGATCTCTATGCATCTTCTATGTGATCTCTACGTGATCTCTATGTGATCTCTACGTGATCTCTACGTGATCTCAATGTGATCTCTACGTGATCTCGGTGTGATCTCTACGTGATCTTTACGTGATCTCTATGTAATCTCTACGTGATCTCTACGTGATCTCTATGTGATCTCTACGTGATCTCTACGTCATCTCTACGTGATCTCTATGTGATCTCGATGTGATCTCTACGTGATCTCTTTGTGACCTCTACGTGATCTCTACATGATCTCTACCTGATCTCTACGTGATCTCTATGTGAACTCTACGTGATCTCTATGTGATCTCTACGTGATCTCTACGTGATCTCTTTATGATCTCTACGTGATCTCTACGTGATCTCTTTGTGAACTCTACGTGATCTCTATGTGAATTCTATGTGATCTCTACGTGATCTCTACGTGATCTCTACGGGTGCCGCAGCCACGCACTTTCGACCGGACTTATAAAAAGGAAAAGAGCTTCACAGCTCTTCAGATTCCTCCCGCGGGTGACACCAACGCATCTCTCTCAACCAGGGGGGGGGGTCGACTCTCCATCTGGTGTCCACCTACACACACAGCACACTGCACGCTCGTGTCCACCAGCGGTGGTGTCGTAGCCTCCAACAGACTGGGTGGGTTGGCCAGCAACCACGCCCGGCCGCCTTTGTCTCTCCCTAGTCACGATGTTTACCGCACCAGGGTAACTCGCTGGAGGCCGACCTAGCGGAGTGCCCAGCGAGAGTGAGTTCAGATTCATCGTCTGCTGGTGGTGTTGGCGGCCGTGAGCAGGAATCGAACAGCGTGGGTGGTGAGCGAGGCGCCACCGCTACCCACTGACACACACGCACGGACACGCCCACTCACTCACTCAATCACTCACCCACTCAATCACTCACTCACTCAATCACTCAATCACCCACTCACTCATTCACTCACTCAATCACTCACTCACTCACCCACTCACTCACTCACCCACTAACTCACTCACTCAATCACTCACCCACTCACTCAATCAATCACTCACCCACCCACCCATTCACTCAATCATCCACTCACTCACTCAATCACTCACCCACTCACTCACTCAATCACTCACCCACTCACTCACTCTATCACTCACCCACTCAATCACTCACCCACTCACTCACTCAAATACTCATCCACTCACTCAATCACTCACCCACTCAATCACTCAATCACTCACCGGCTCACTCACTAACTCACCCACTCACTTAATCACTCACCCACTCACTCAATCACTCACTCACTCACTCAATCACTCACCCACTCACTCACTCAATCACTCACTCACCCACTCAATCACTCACCCACTCACTCACTCAATCACTCACCCACTCACCCACTCACCCACTCACTCACCCACTCACTCACTCACCCACCCAATCACTCAGGGCTCAAATGTTGTTTAAAGTATTTTTTATAGTATATATAATTGCATGTCTCTGAACTGTGATTCTTAATTAGGTTATGGTTAGTGTTTAATGCTGGATTAGTAACACTGAGTTAGTGTTCCTCTCCTGACCAGCTGGCTCAACTAAAACTAACATAGAGATGTGTAGACATACATAGAGACTCATAGAGATACACAGAGACTCAAAGAGATACATATAGACTCAGAGATAAACATACTCAAAGATATACGTAGAGACTCATAGAGATACGTAAAGACTCATAGAAATACATAGAGCCGCACAGACACTCATAGAGATGGAAATTCATAGAGATACATTATGAACCTTCTGAGAGAGCAGAGCTCAGCACTAGGGCTCGAACCCAGGAGCTAAGCGGTTGATGACTCCGTGTCTCCGACACGGCCATTGTGAACCCCCTGACAGAGAGACACCCAACCCAGGGCTCGAACCCAGGTTCTCAGTGTCTCTGACATGGCCATTATGAACCCCCTGACAGAGAGACACCCACACCCAGGGCTCGAACCCAGGTTCTCAGTGTCTCCGACACGGCCATTGTGAACCCGCTGACAGAGAGACACCCAGACCCAGGGCTCGAACCCAGGCTCTCAGTGTCTCCGACACGGCCATTGTGAACCCCTGAGAGAGAGAGAGACACACACCCAGACCTAGGGCTCAAACCCAGGCTCTCAGTGTATCCAACATGGCCATTGTGAACCCCCTGAGAGTGAGAGACACCCAGACCCAGGGCTCGAACCCAGGCTCTCAGTGTCTCCGACACGGCCATTGTGAACCCCTGAGAGAGAGAGACACCCAGACCTAGGGCTCAAACCCAGGCTCTCAGTGTATCCGACATGGCCATTGTGAACCCCCTGAGAGTGAGAGACACTCAGACCCAGGACTCCAGCCCAGGCTCTCAGTGTCTCCGACACGACCATTGTGAACCCCTGAGAGAGAGAGAGAGAGACACCCAGACCTAGGGCTCAAACCCAGGCTCTCAGTGTATCCGACATGGCCATTGTGAACCCCCTGAGAGTGAGAGACACTCAGACCCAGGACTCCAGCCCAGGCTCTCAGTGTCTCCGACACGACCATTATGAAGCTCCCGGTAAGCTGTCTGGGAGCATCTGGTGGGAGAGTCTCATGTCCACCTCCAGTGTGGACACGAACGCCGCATCTCCCTCCGTGTCTCCCCCCGTGTCTCCCTCCGCGACGTCTCCTCTCCCGGCCTCCGTTTCCGCGGCTCCATCGCCGGCGGACGAATCCACTGGAAGAAGAGGCGGACAAAGACAAAGATCCCCCGTGTAGCCTCTTAACAGACTGTTGGGGCAAGTGCTGTTAGTAGCGAGTAGCAGCAGCGCCTATGAAGACCGGCACTATGGCAACACGAGGGGGTGGGTAGCGAGCAACCACGCCCGGCAGCCTTTGATTCCCCACTGACAATGCTTACACGTTCGCACCAGGTACTCATTTGAGGCCGAGTCGACCTAGGGGAGGGCCCAGGACCAGTTCAGATAATCGTCACCGGGCGTTCACCGTGAACAGGGAATCGAACCCGGGTCACCGGGTTCGTAGCGCAGCGTAGCGCTAAACCGCTACACTACCGCTCACCACACCTACACACACACACAGACACAACAACAACCGCAATTCGCCACTAAGTGGCGGTGACGTCACCACGACGCTTGTGCCAGGCCATGTGCACCTTGAGGCCACGTGAAGTGTCGAACGCCCGCCGGCAGGAGGTCACGGGGCAGACCCAGATGCCACAGGTCGACTGATTGAGACGACTGGCTGATGCACCACCTGTGCCCCCTACTGTGCAAATTTGCTGTGCTTTAGCCACCTGGCGCTCCGCTCGTTGTTGTGAGCGTCGCTCCTCCTCCCTCCGTTGTTGTTGGAGGGCGACTGCCTCCAACTGCCCAGTAGCGTCCTTCACGAGCCTCCTCCACAGAGGCCGATCTTGACACCGCTGGTACCAGTCATCGGCAAGTCCACTCAGCTCCACATCCTCCTGTACCACGTCACTTCATCTCTTCTCTAGCCCGTGCCGCGCCCATTTTGCCCCCTCGATCCGGCCGAACAAAAGCTGTTTCGGCATGCGGTCGCTGGGCATGCGGGCTACATTACCCAGCCAACGCAGCCTTGCCCACCGAAGGAGCTCACCGATGGAACTTTGCCCAGATTTTTCAAGGATTTGTGAGCTCCTCACACAATCCAGCCTGGATCGTAGGCAGGCCAGCCTACATGGTTCTAACCGCCAAAGATGCTCCATTAGGGGGGTCCACGTTTCGCAAGCGTAGAGAAGGGAGGGAATGACCGTTGCTGAGAAGACCTGAAGCTTAGTGCGGAGCGACAGACCAGGTAGCTTCCACACAGCGTTACACAACTGATGAAAAGATATTGCCGCTCGACTGATTCGGAGTGAGACCTCTGCTGTTAAACCGGAGCTGGTCATAAGCACACTGCCCAGGTATGGGAAACTCTCCACTCTCTCCACAACTGCGCCATCAACCTACACACACACCCCTACACACACACACCTACACACACACACCTTCACACACACACCTGCACACACACACCTACACAAACACACCTTCACACACACACCCGTGTAGCCTTAACAGGCTGTTGGGGCATGGAGCGCTGGGTTAGATACATGGTTAGGTGATAAGATTTGGCACAAGAGAATAGGGTTAGGGGGTACATTTTGAGTTCGGGCTAAAGAGGGCTAAGGCTTGGGTTATGGATATGTTATAGGGGTAGGGATAGCCTTAGTGAAATAGGATTCAGGTTATGGTTATGGCTCAGGATTAGAGGATGGTTATAGCCAGAGGTAGTGCGTCATGCATGTATGTATACTTAACTTCTTTCGCACCGTACGTAGCCAAAGCGTGCCAATACGTATGTACGTTGACACTTCTTTCGCACCGTACGTAGCCATACCGTGTTCATTGGAGGTACTGCGGTTAGGGTGAAGAGTTATGGCCGTGTCTTGGAGTCAGGGTTAGGGGTGGGCGGTGTTAGGGTTAAGGGTTAAGTACACGTGGGTTTAAGCAGCGCTGATGCGTTGTCGTCTCTTGAGGCTGTTAACTACCTCGCCTGGTGTACAGGAGGTCGTGGGTTCAATCCTGACTGTGACGACGCCTGCTGCTGCTGTATATTTGGAGTTTGCGTGTCTCTCTCTCATCATCATCACGGTGGCTAGGAGATGTTGACTACCTCGCCTGGTACACAGGAGGTCGTGGGTTCAATCCGGACTGTGACAACGCCTGCTACTGCTGTATATTTGGAGTTTGCGTGTCTCTCTCTCTCCCCGTGGTCGTGTGAATTTTCCTCCGAGGTCCTCCCGGCTTTCCCCCCTCCACATTTAGAATCAACGTCACCACGCGTTCTAGAGCGTAATTGCCTGCCGCTATGAATTTCCACGCGTTGATGATGATGATGACGATAAGCCGCCACTCCGTTGAAGCTATCATTTGTGATGGCCCGGTCGCTTCTGAAAAC